GGAAAGAGCGGGGGAAGGAGTGCTGCTCCTGGGGCTGCGCAAGGTAATAAACCAGGGGGAACAGAGCGGCACTGTCCCCAGCCCTGGCTGTAGCGGCCCTGGGAGTGGCCAGCACCAGGTGCCTGCAGCTGTTGTGCTACACCATGCTCCGCCTGTCCCCACTAACCTCTGGTCCTAGGCTGCGCCATGCCCTGGTGCAGGCAGCTGGTGTCAGCTGCTCCTGGGGCCGCTGCAGCCAGGGCTGGGGGGAGCAGGGGCCTGGCTCTTTCCCCAGCCAGGACTGGTGTGAGTGGGGCCACGGCCCTTTCCCTTCCCCCCACAGGCTTACCTGCTTGGGCAGGGGACATCTATGCTGATCTCTTATAAGGAGTGAATTTACCTCGCATATAACGAATTACGGGACTAAATATGCTCATCACATAAGAGCAAGTTTGCATATAAAGAATCCGCATAAATCGAGGGAAACCTGTATCTCAAGCTGTTAACATGAGCCAAAATGACTTGCAGAATGAAGTGTTCAAAAAATAATTAAATAATTGTTTGATTTCTTCCAGAACACAAGCCGACTTTCCCAAACATTCTGAAGAAAGGCTACCTAGATATTAGAAAGGATCATGACAGCTTCTGGCAACCCTGTTATGCAGAGCTGTCTCCATATAAACTCTACCTGTATTATCTTGACAGCAGTGGCAACCAGAATCTTCCTACAGTCTATCCACTTACGCACTTCCAAAGTATCACTGTTACAGGCAACCTTGAAACAAAGATGGTGGACACCATCCTATCAGACAACTCCCAGTTGCAGTTGAAGGCACAGTCATCATGGGAGGCTTTGGACTGGGGGCAGAAACTTTGGGAAGTGGTACATTCCTCTGTGCCAGCTTTCATGAGGCAACAGGAAGAATTGGAAAACACCCAGAAACTGGACAACAATGATGACCTTGCCCAAATTCATGTTTTGCAAGAGAAGCCTGCTGAATTTTTCCAGCCCACCAATTTCACCGAAAATAGCAAGGACTACCAAAACATTATCAAATCAGGGACTCTTTATAGGTTGACTGTACAGAATAACTGGAAAGCATTTACTTTTGTTCTGAGCAGATCTTATCTCATGGCATTCCAGCCTGGTATACTGGATGAAGACCCTCTCCTGAGCTATAATATTGATGTGTGCCTGTCTGTCCAGACCGATACTCTGGATGACTGTGACTCTTGCTTTCAGGTCATTTTCCCTCAAGATGTCCTCCGTTTGCGAGCAGAAACGCGCCAAAAAGCACAGGAGTGGATGGAGGCACTGAAATCTGCTGCAAATGCAGCCAGAAATTTAGGTCAAAACCTGCAAGTTACCCTTAGAAACAAATCGAGAGATTATCCCTTTGGAAAGGACCTTAGGAAGAGCAAGCGCCAGTCTGTGACCACCAGTTTTCTGAGCATCCTGACCACTTTGTCTTTGGAAAGAGGACTAACAGCCCAGAGTTTCAAGTGTGCAGGTAAGCCACCACGCTGAAGTGTCGTTCCACTCCCAGTCTCTATGCGAGGCAAAGATATAAACACAACTCATGAACATAACTTGTAAGACTGCATAAACTTTTACACAAAAAATGGGCACTTATTTTCCAGTGCCTTAGCCGTAACATTAGTGGCTGCTAATGTATCAAATCAAGAAAACCAAATTGGTTTTGGCTTGGTTAGCAGTTGGTTATGGAAATAGAAATAGAAGGGGTTATAAGGAGTGGTGCTGGATGCAGCCCTTCAGTTTCTGAGTCTAAATGCTTTTCATTAAGAGAAAATCTTTAAGAGCATCTCCCATCACACAACTTATATAAAAATCACTTTTTAAAAAATAAACAAGATGTGTAGATCAGGGTCAGGCAATTATTTTGGGCGGAGGGCCACTTACTGAGTTCAAGCAAGCTGTCGAGGGCTGTGTGGGTAGCCCCGGTCCTTGACAGGCTTCCCACCCCCTGGTCGCTATCTTGCGATTGGAAGTCCTGCTCCCTAACCTATGACCTTTGTCACCAGAAGGCCCTCCCCTTGCCCCTGGAAATACTCCTTTCAGCAAGGGGTTTTGCCATCTCAGAACCAGAAAAATATCAAAAACCAGAATACCATATTCTAAAAATCAAACATCTACATTAATTTGATTTCCAAAAATATTTTTGTCCTAATTTACATGTGTTTGTGTAGTATACATAGAGGTGACTGCACAGTAGCTTAAAATGAAGTCTTACTCCTTGTATATTGTGAGGTGGGGGGATGAAGGGGTGGATATATGTTTGTGGGGGGCTGTTGGTGTGTGGATATGTGGGGTGTGGGTGGGTATGGGGTTTGTGGGGAAAGGGTGGCTGGGGTGTGGGTCTGGGGCCCTGCATGTATGGCAGTGAAGGGGGGGGATGCATGTGTATGGTGGGGTGTGCGTATGGGACTCGCCCTATGAACACACACAGATACACTCTCCCCCCCCCGTGGGTGTGCACGCACGCGCGCGCGCGCACACACACACACACACACACACACTTTCCTGCACTCTCCTCCCTCATTGGGTGGACGTGCACACACTTTTCCTCCTTCATGGGGCAGGCAAGCATGCACAAATGCATGCATGCACATCTTCCTGCTCCTGGCCCTGGGGTACCAGCACAGGCCCCATGCGCCCATGGTCCAGCAATGCAATGTGCAGGGAAGCAGTGAAAGCTGCAGCATGCAGAGGCTTCTGGTTGGGGGGAGGGGGGGGCCAGGCTGGCCTTGCTACTGAGTCCTGCCAACTCCCCCTGGGTCTTACTGCCCCTGTCTCTTGTCATCTTTGAGAGGCAGCCAGGAGCAGATAAATATAAATTTTCTAAATTTTTTAGGGGCCCCAAGGGCTGGATAGAATGGCCTGGTGGGTCAGATTTTGTCCGCCCCGTGTAGATCGTAAGCTCTTTGGGGCAGAGACTGTATGTGTGTGGCACAGTGAGACCTGGTTTCTGATTGGGTCTCTAGGTGCTGTTGTATGAGAAATAATATTTGTGGAGTGAAAGTAAGTATTCAGTGTCCCATTACAAAAAGCAAAGATATTATTTTAATGTCACAACTCTTTGATGGGATCCCATCAAAGTCTCTGAATCTAAGCAGCTTGGGTTGGGCAATGTACCAGACAGGAGATCTCAAGAGGAACATGGGTTTTCCAGGAAGCAATGCTGGCAATGAAGTAGGCAGTGCTTTTGTGTCTGAATCAGTGCAGAATCACTTCCCCGGTGTGTGAGATTGGCGATGTCATCTCTTTGGTATAAATCTCAAGTCTTTCACTCATTGTGGGGATTTAGAAATCTTACAGCATATTAAAGACTAGAAAGTCAATCTAATGTGCCGATCTAGTTCCAAGTGTCGTGATTTCATTCCACTGAATACAGAAATATTCTTCCCTTCCAGTTCCATTTTGTGCTAATATATAACTCTGTGCTGTGAGGTGGTGGCTGCACCTCGTTGATGGTTCAGATGATTCACAGTGGGAGAGCAGGTCTAATGGTTAGAGCACAAGAATGGAAGGCTGACATTTGTGCCTGGATGTCCTGTGTCTGCCAGAGATGTACTGTGCTCCTTGAAGTAATTCACAGACACTTGCTAATAAGCCTAAGCTTTCAAAGTAACTAGTGATTTTTTTGAGGCCTTCCATTTTTAGGTGCCCAGCTTGAGAATGCTAGAGAGGGAGTTTGATTAGAGTGGGAGTGCTCAGTGCTCTGTTAAAATCAGCTAACTTGTGTTAAACTGAGCGCTCAAAATCACTAGTCACTTTTAAAAATGGAGGTTTATTAGTCTGTCTGTGATCGTTTTTCCTCATCTGTAAAATAGGGAAACAAACCTACCAAACACAGAAGGATCGTGGGGATCATTTGCTGATGTTTGCAAAGCAATTTTGAAATTCTAGCATCATGAGCACTGCAAAAGTATGATGATGAGCAGGCTAGTGTGCTTATGTACAATCAAATGACTCGGATGTAGTTTACTTTAGTGGTAGTGGAGCTTGGTTAACCTCAAGCCATGCAGTTTTGGACTGTATCCTGAATTGTATCTTATCCACTGCTGTCAAACTTGCAAACCATCACATTTGCTGTGTTGTTTTTTTAGTGTATTTTTTCCTGAGTCTTCATCCACAAATGTATTCCCTGGAGTTTTGATTTCCTTATCCAGACCAAATTGTTCTGTTTTTTTATTTTAATTAAAATCTTAATTCATTTGAAAACTGACTCTTACGCAGGGACAAGGTACAATTGTTGTGGAAAAGAATAGAAATGGAGGGTAGCTGTCTGAAACTGTGTGTTGTCCTGCTTGGTTTCACCTTGATGCCACTGCTATGGTAGTATTTTTTTTGAACCTGAAAAGTCAGTGTGAGTTTCCAAATCACTGAATTTGGATCCTCTTCTAGTTTGAAAGAGTAAACTTTGCATCTAAGAAATGGAACTGGTACCAGTTTGGTTTCTCAGTAGGATTTTCCTTTTTGTTACAAAACACCGTCAATTTGGCTATTCCCAGCTGCTTTGAAAACCCCAGTCTTATTTTAGTAGGGCACCCATACTTTTCCCATCTTGCATGGGAAAGAAGGATTAGCTAGTGTAGTGGTTTTCAGCCTCTTTTTTTTTTTTTTTTTTTCAGATTTAAGATACTCCTTGGAAAATGCAGGCTCCTACCTTTCTCTCATATTTTAACTGCAGAGAAATAACAGAGTAATTCTCCTGCTGCAGAGAACTCAGAAAGACCCCGACCAGTCAGAATGTTTTTAACATGGTGGATTCCTACTTGAAATCTCTGGATTGATTTTGTAAATCGTGTAGGTTTCTGCATATCTGACAGTAATAATACTTTGGAACACCCTTAAAAGGATCTCTCAGCACCCAACGTTGTCACAGGACCCTTGTTGAGAATCACTGATCTAGCGGTTAGGTCACTGACACTGGGCTTACAGGACTGGGTGCAATTCCCAGTTCAGCTCTGGGTTCCCTCTCTAACCTTGACAAGTCACTTGCAGCTACATTTTCAAAATCACCTTGGTGCCAAATTCCCACTGAAATTAGGGTACCTTGGCATTTTGGAAAATATTCCTGTGTGCCTACAGATATTTCTGTCACCTGGATGGTCAAAAAAGAATACCACGCAGGTTGTGAACTGCTCACATACTATGGGGATAGAGCCCATAAAGACACCTGTAGTAGAGCTCTCGGATTTGCCCATTTTCATTATTCTTTTCTCATATTTGTCTTAAAATTCAGCAAAGAAAGATTTTGATCTCTTAGGCAATGTCTACCTTACTTCTGGACTGTGCTAGGAAGGGCCTTGGGAAAGCACTGTCACCTGTCACGTGCATACTAAACCCAGAAATGGATGCCGTGTAGCTGTATAGAGTTGCACTGGGTACACGCTAATAAAGCTGTCTCCGTTGTGATTGTTGGGTCAGCATTGCTGTGACACAGCCATATAGCATCCATGCCTGGGCTTAGTGTACTTTCTCATGCTTTGCTGTGGCTCTCTTTAGCATAGTCGGAGGGTGCAGTAGATGCCCTTGTTTCCATCATTTGACTGTTGACCTGCTCACGGTAGTTAATGGGACTGCTACCAGCATCCTCAGCTGGAGCAAGAAAAGGAGCAGGCCCTGGAGGAGTAGCGAGAAACCTGCTTTTAGTTTGAAAGACACTTTAGGTATTCTGGGGGAATTCTCTGAAACATGCTATATTTCATCCTGAATTGTTCACATATATTCTCCACAGCAGTGAGGCATGCCGGGGCTTATTCGTTTGCTTTTTCAGATTCAGTGAAAGAATTTTTTTGTTTTTAAGGTTGAATTTTCTTTTTAAAAACAAGGTCTGTAGCTTTCCTGATTCTCTGCCTTTTGCATGTTAGATATTTGCCATGCTCCTGTGGCCTGTTTTATTTATTTATTTTTTATTTTTTTTCAGCGATGCTGAGCAACCACAGCTCAGGATTGAGCCTGCTTAACAGGAATGATGGATGCTCAACATGTCTGTGAATCAGGGCACTGGGCTTAGTTTTAACTATATTTTCAACATCATAACACTCAACCCTTACTCTAAAAGTGGCTGATATGTTCCTAGGACTATCTTCTCAGTGTGCTGTGTGCCTTTTGCAATGGGGTTCCAAGTGTCAATTGGCACCTATAGCTCCTACCACAATACAGATCATAAATAATAATAATAACTGGGGAATTCTGTCCTGTTGGGTTGAGAAAAAGTTCACGCTGAGGAGGCTTTGGGGAATAAAGAGTGAGGCTTGAAGATCTCCATGCATCATGATCACTATAGGCGGTTTCTGCTGTTTTACTTCATAGGCTGCTGTTTAACCTAACAGGACTGCTGTCGGTAATTACATCTTGCAGGCATTAAGAGCTTCTTTTTTTTTTTTCCGGCTGCTGGGAGGGGTAAGCTTGGAAAGGAAAAAAAAAAAAGTTTTGCTGTGAATTCTTCAGCCATTTAGTGCAAATTCCTGTAATTACCGTCAT